GTTCTAGAAGAAGCATGAAGGAGGGGATCACAAAGTCCCTTGTAGAAGCTTTTTAATTCTAGGAGCTCCATGAAGGATCATCTTTCCTTGTACTATATAAAACCTAGAAACATTAACTACTATTCTGCTAAAACAACTGGCCTTTGGGTTTATCTGACTTTTTTTTAGACAATTCATTCACCAGTAAAGAGCACCGGTCTTAGGGGCAGAAGGTCTGGGTTCAAGCCCTAGGTAAAGTTGTATGACCCTGGTTAAGCTGCTTAATGCCTCAGTTTCCTCACCTTGGTACAGTGATTAGAACAATGGATTTGGAGTTAGGAAGACGAGTTCAAATCCTCCCTAGTTATTTGGTTCTGAGCAAGTCACTTGGCTTCAGTTTGCTTTTCTGGAAAATGGGGATAATCATGATAATAAATCTAGTTCAAAGGGCTGATGAAAGGATAAGAGGAGAAAACATATGAAAAGGACTTTGAAAAATCTTAAAGTGATATATACATGTTGGCAATTAATATAATTATCACTAACATCATAATCATTAGGGATACAGTGCTGAACTTAGAAATTGGAAACCTGAGTGCAAATCCTACCTTGGACATTAGCTGTATGACTCTAGGCAAATCACCATCAGCCTCAGTATGCTCATCTGTAAAATGGGAATAACAATAGCACCCCATCTCCCAGGATTGTCTTGAGGGCCAAATGAAGCCATAAATGTAAGGTGCTATACAAACCTTCCAGCACTACATAAATGTTAACTACTGTTAGCATCTATAAAATGAGGGTGTCACCAGTGACCATGGAAATTACCCAGTTTTCTAGAACAATGTCCACCCACACCAGAAGCCTTACAAGGCTGGAGGGATTATTACTTACAACTCGTGGGATCCTGGGTGACTCACAACCATGCTGGGCCTCTGTTTCCTCATAGATAAAATAAGGGGAATGCCATGGAAGAGATGAGAAGACACTCTTCCCCACCTCCCACATTTGCAAAGGTGGGGGGGCGTGTAAGTAGAGTATTATATATGATGCTAGAGGTTTTCAATACGTGGGTTAGTTTTCCCCCCTCCCTTTTATTCTTTGCCATAGGCGATGGCACCCTAGGAAAGATGGGGGCGGGATACACTGGGAAACGTAAGTGATATAAAACAAAACCTATCAATTGGATTGTATTTTTAAAATGACAAGGAGGCTTCTTCCAACTCTAAGTCGATGGCCCTAGTCCTCCACTTCTGTTCCTCCGGCTTTTCCCTTTCCATCAATGACATGAAATGTTTCGGTCTTTAATAAGTAATGCATTTAATTCTACTTTACAGATCCGAGATAGCAGGCAACGTTCTGCACGAACGTCCTTCTGGCTGGATTCCACTGGAATACTGAAAATGGACGTTGCGGACAAACATGTTACAAACCTCAAACTGCATTTTCCTCTTCTCCAACTTATTTAAACAAAAGGCCTTCAGGTCCCTCTCTGGAGCAGATAGCTGATCTGTCCTTGTGCAATCTGACGTCAGCAAGGCTGGAACCACCCAAACTCTCAAAAGCCCTTATACATATGAAATCTTGGAGCTTCATCACATATGCATGAGGCAGACTAGCCTTCTACAGATGAGAAGATAACAGAGATAGGGAAAGGAATAACTGAAGCAAAGAACGAATTGGCTCTCCTTAGCAGAAGGCCCAACACTGCCCAGGTTCATAGCATTCCACTGAACCCAGGCTCCTGGGCCAGGAGCTCAGATGCTTAAACTCAGCCTTGCAAGTCAACATTGCCCGGCAAGCATCCCCGTTTCAGGAAGCATGTGAGCTTCACTGCTAGCTTGCCCAAAGAGGACCTGAGCACTCTACAGGGTAACCCCCCCCCTATTTTTTCTTTTCAGGGACCATGAAGGAGGCTGTCCACTTTAAGACAAGAAGGCCTAACCTATATGGTGACCACCAGCTTATAGAACAATGCTGGACAGCTCTGTAAACTAGGGGGCAGTCCAAATCTTCCGAAGAACTGAGGAATCTTTCTGAAAATACTTCTTTTTTTTGTGGACAGAAAAAAGGAGGGACGAAAATGATTACTCCCTGCAGGGAAAAAAAAAATCCCACAAGCAGCTGAAGGAAAATAGCCCCCTTTTAAATGACAGCTCAATTCAGAAACTGCACTGGGGAAAATGTGTGTATAAAACTCAATTACATATTTGAAAAGGGGGCGTGAGATGTTTGGAAAAACAACTGTTAATGGCCTCAGTCTTGGCAAACCCCAAACAAGCTAACCTTTAAAAAAAAAGTTAAAACACACAACTCAATAAAACACACACATTACAGAATGACGCACACTTGCCTGGCTTCGTTTCTCCTTTACAATAGGACCTTTTGAGCCTTAATGTGGCCCCAGAGCACCCGTTTAACAGCAAAATAAAAATAGCAAATCAAAAGAACGCAGCAACCTTTTCAAACAGAAAGCTGCCAGGAGTTATATTTATCAAAGCCAATCTGTCTGCCTCGATTGGACTTTTCCTGCAAATTCTCCACCTGAGTCAGCTCAGGAACCGCCTGAGGTTCAGAGAGAAACTTCTCAGACTCCCCACGCCACAGGCGGGACTGGATGTGTTTCAGGGGCGAGGCACATTCCCCCCAAGAAAAACAGAATCCTTTTTTCAGGATCCCAGACTTAGAGTTGTTTGTTAGGAATTCTGGAGCTAGCAACTCTAATCTCCTCCCTTTACAGATGAGGAAACTGGGACCCCCAAAGGCAAGACAGTGAGGGGAATGGCAAGGCCAGGGTCCTTTAAGCCCATCTTCCCAACACCGAGCCTGGCTCTCTATCCACTCAAGGGCAACAACACTGATTTTGAAAACAGGTATCAGGCAGGGACAAAATAATGGACAGGAGAAGTGCGGACGCTAGTATAGCCTTGGTTGCCAACAACAAGGCTCTGACTGTGGACAGAGAGAAGACAGAAGTCCCTAGCATCACACAAAAGGCTGGAGAAAGCTGGAAAAGCAACATCACAATACCAAAAGCTAAATAAGCATCTAAGATGCCAAGAGAAATGGACCATCCCAGGAACTCAAGAACCGAAAGTGACCAAGTCAAGCCGCGCAGGGATGGCAGCATCCTTTGACCTCCCTCGTCTCCAAGCGGAATTCACACCCACCCCAGACACAGAAAACTGGGGGTGGGGAGGGGAAAACCGGCTGCTAAGGAGGCCACGAGACACAGAGTCTGTGGCCTGGGAGGGCAAAGCCAACCCTGGCCTGGCCTAGAGAGCGAGTGCTGGTGGACACAGTGCAGGCAGCCAGGGCTTTATTTTTGTCTTACTGAACTTGCTTCAGTCCTGACTAAGATGTTTGTGTGGGAAATACAAGTGGCTGGCATGCATGTATAATTCTAATGGGATAGCTTGGGTATAGTGATGCTAATGAGGCTTCCTTGTTCACCACCTGCAAAATGGCTCCTCTCCAAAAAGAAACCAGACGGTCCTCGGAGCAAGGACCTGCCCAGCAGCAGCAGCATCCCCTGTGAGGAGGCAGAGAGATGAGCCCTCCACCCTCCTTTTTACAAGCAGAAAATCCAAGGCTTGTCTTTGTGTTTCCAAAGATAAATAATCTGCTCCACAAACTGAATTCATTTCTCAGAAGACCAAAGAGGCATTTTCATAGATCCCAGGATCGTTTATTTCAAAGTGGACGAAGCCTTAGGGGCCGACTAGATCCAACCCAGAGGTGGAATCAGAAGCTCAGAGACTTGAAGCTGCTTGCCTACAGTCACACAGCTACCAGGTGTCACAGGTGGGACGTGAACCCAGGTCTTGCTGACCCCCAGTATGGCACACTATCCAATATGAGAAATAGACGGTTTTCTAGAAACTGTTTGCTCTGCTAATCGGGCAGAGTGGCACAGGTGCAGAGGGAAAAACAGTGCCCTAAGTCAACTTAGGAGGACACTCAAGGCCTCCTTTACACCTGCCCTTTAAATGAAGAGAAAAATACCAGCCCACGGCGAAGAGGCTCAACTCTCCACAGGCTCCTTTCCCATCCCTCAAGTCCCTGCTCTTTGGCTTATTCCCGTTTTCGCCAATAACGGAACCTCCTGAAACAGCAGTTCTTCAAAGGTTTCTGCCCATGGCACAGAAGAATCCAGTCTGGAGGGGTGTATACTCACCGGCAGTGGTGAGGGCAAGTTCCTTACAACTGGTGACAGCCCCACTGAGAGGCAAGGCCTTAGGCAACGGCCGTTGTCTACACAGCACTCAAACAGCGGGGCAATGGGGACTCTGGTCTCTTTCCCACACTCATCATAGTTCTCCACAGGGCTTTTACATACCTACTGTGCATAGAGTCCCGCCCCCAAGGAGCTTCTATCCCACTGGGCTGGGAACACTTCCAGGGCCAGGGGCTCCCCTAGCGCCTGGCCCAGGGCTTGGCACATAAACCAAACTGGCCTCGGTGAGTTTGGTCAAAGTGGAGGACTCGGACTCGTAAGCCTTGGTGGACAGAGGCACTAATCAATGCATGATACGGGTCAATAAGAGTGCATTCATTCTCTGACAAGTTTATTGAATGAATGACTAACGATGCATTTATTAATTATTATGCACCAGGCACAGAGAATCAGCTTACAAAGAATGGCAATCCCTGCCTTCAAGGAGCTTACATTCTGACAGAGGGCGAGAACCCCTCTGGGGGGAGGTGACTGTGGAAATCTTGATTGGGAGGGTCACGGGATGATGTGTTGGGCCATGGTCTGGTTTGTAACCCCTCTATTTTCTACTCTCCTACAAGGATGGAGAGGCACTGGGCCAGGGTTTTAGCTGCAAATGCAGGTGTTAAGTGCCCCGTCTACAGCCTCTGCCAGATGCTGAGTCTGGGAGAGTCCACGTAGGCCGTGGCTCCCTCCCCACTGCCTGGAAGGTCAGGAGCAAGCTGCACTGCATCCTGCCGTGGGCCAAAAAGAAACCCCCCAAGCACCGAACACGGCACCGGTCCACTCATTCTTTCACGCTTACCTGGAACATCAATTAGTCTCTTATAGACATTCAAGAAGGCGGCCTCGGCTTCTTTGCTTCTCTTACTCAGTGCATCAATCTAGAGGGGGCAGAGAAAACAGAGATCAGACGTGTGCGGGGAGTCACTGAGAAATCATCACGCCACAATTCACAAATCAACCAGCTCGGAGGGCAGAGAAAACAGAGATCAGACGTGTGCGGGGAGTCACTGAGAAATCATCACGCCACAATTCACAAATCAACCAGCTCGGGGGGCAGAGAAAACAGAGATCAGACGTGTGCGGGGAGTCACTGAGAAATCATCACGCCACAATTCACAAATCAAACAGCTCGAGGGCCCCCACGTGGGGACAGCACGCTCTGAACCTCTTCACGGGAATGACAATAACATGAATAAAGCAACGTTGTTGTCATTCAGTCATTCAGTCATGGCCAACTCTTTGCGACCCTGTTTTTGGAGTTTTCTTGGCAAAGATACTAGATTGGTTTGCCACTTCCTTCTCCAGCCCATTTTACAGATGAGGAAACTGAGGTAAATAGGGTTAAGTGACTTGTGCAGGGTCACACAGCCAGTAAGCATTTGAGGCTGGATTTGAACTCAGGTCTTCCTGACTCCAGGCCTGGTGCTCTGTCCACTGGACCACCTAGCTGACAATTGTATAACACCTACACACCACTCCAGGCGCTGGGCTAAACACGTTTACCATTATTGTATCTTTTGTTCCTCACAACAACCCAGGGAGGTAGGTGCTGTTATTATTCCATTTCACAGACGAGGGAACTAAGGCAAACAGAGGGTAGATGACTTGTCCAGAGTCCTACAGCTAGTATCTAAGGCCACATCTGAACTCAGGCCTTTCTCAGTCCAGGATCCTTGTCCTATGCACTGTACCACCCAGCTGCCAAAACGAGATGTAGAGAGGTCCTTCTGGTCGTGGATTTAAAGTAACTTTGGAAGTCAGGTCAGTGGGGTTACAGAAGCGGTCTGAGGCTGTGGCCCACACAGCCACTTAGTGGAAGGCGGGGCGTGCAGTGGACAGCACACTGAGCTTGCAGTCAGAAGACAAGGGTTCCCTTCTCTGGGTCTGGGCTGCTTCGTCACTCACGAGAGCCACGGCCTCTAAAGACCCCCTAGCCTTCAGTGCTACAATCCCATGGATGGCTGCCCAAAGGACTTCCCAGTGATGCCTTCAGGCCACTCAGACCGGACCAGGCTTCTCTTCCATCCGAGGCCTGGGTTTTTTTCCTTCTCTCTCAAGTGAAAAATTTGGATTCTGTCATCTTGAAGGATCCTTCCGGCTACAAATCTCCATGACTCAGTGATCATCACGTCAGCTTCCTCCAGGCCCACAGAGCTGGAAGGGCTCAGAGGCCGCCTAACCAATTCTCTCCTTTGACGGCGATAAACGTGGCCCGGAGAGAATCTCAGTTCTAGAGTTGGAAGGGGTTTTACAGACCACCTAGTTCAGCCCCCTCATTCCACAGGTCACAAAACTGAGGACCACAGAAGGGAAATGATCTGTTCAAGGTCAAATACTAAGTGTCAGAGGAGGTTCTCTGGTTCCACAACCACAGGAAACTGAGGCAGAGAGCACAGTGACTTCTCTCACGTTATACACAACCTCAATGGTAAAACAGGGATGAGAAACTGAAACAAGCCCTTTCTCTAGTGATTTTGGACAGGCCACTTTTCATCGGCTAGACACCGAGTCAGATGAGTTACTTTGAAAGTAATGGTTCTCAATCTTTTAAAAAAAAATAAAGCAGTATAGTGGAACTCTTCACTTTAGTGAAACTTAAAAACAACAAAAAAAAATTAAAAAGATACTTTAATATCTACTATTAATGGTATTGAATAATATAACACTGATTTAGAAGTTCGGACTAATTTTATCTGACAATAACAGTGAATGATAAGCTAATAACATATTTAGTGAGAAGGATGCTATTTCTTTGCTATCAGATGCTTCAGATTTGAGAACAATATTAGACACCTTTAAAATATTTTTACTGATGCTTTTGGCACTCAGTAAACACTTGCTAATTGGTTGAGTGATTTTTGTTTTTATATTGTAGTAATTTCTGGATAGAATAACCTCATATATGTATACACACACCCATACACCAGTAAACTTTTTTTTTTAACTGCATGAACCTTAATTAAAATATTAGAAGGATAAAGTAAAACATATCAACACAAACAATGTGGGCTTTCTTCCAGTGCAGGCAGCCATTATTCCTGGCTTAGCAGGTAGGGCAAATCCCAAAAACACAATCCCCCCCTCCCCCGCACCCGTAAGGATCAAAACAAGGTGCTCAGCCTGGGGCGTTTCCATTCAAGGAAACATCTCCCAGAAAAAGCCCTCCCTTGTAGCAGAAAACAAAACTGACAGTACATCCGTCATTTCCCACCCACAGTCATTCCACCTCTCCAAGGTAAGAAAGGAGGTACATAAACTCAAATCTCTTGTGTGGGGCCAAGACTGATCATTCCAATTCAACAGCCCTCAACCACTTTCCAGCTCTGTGTTCTTTATAGTGTTCAGGATACTGTACTGTCTCTACAGTCGCTTTGGTCCTGTTTATTCTATTCCATAACAGTTCATTCAATTCTTCACATGATTCTCTGAATTCCTTTTACCCGTCCTTTCTCATGGCACGACAATCATTCCAGTTAGCCTAAGCCATCCTGCAGTCATTGGGCATTTTATTTTGTTGCCAAGGTTTCTTCTGCCACAAAACGGCTGTCATGAGTACCATGTCTATGGTACCTCTCATACTAAGTCACCTTCTCTGGATCAGACGATATGTTAGAGTTACTGTTCTCACTTAATTCCAAATCATTCCCCAAAATGGCTAGACCATGTTACAGCTCTAACAACAATCTATTAGTATTCTCGTCTTCCCCAGACCCTCCAACACTGTCCATGGAAGGGCCTGGGGTCAGGAAGACCCAAGTGAGAATCTGGCCTTAGATACTTTCTAGCTGTGTGTCACTCCAGTCACTTAAGTCTCAGTTTCCTCAGCTGTAAAGTGGAAATAATAGTAGCAACTACCTCCCAGGGTTATTGGGAGGATCAAATGAGAAAATATTCATAAAGTGCTTAGCACAGGGCCAGGCACATAGTAAGTGCCACATAAATGTTTATTTCCTTCCCTTCTCCATTTTTCATCGTTGCCAGCTGGTCGGCTCTGAGGTGAAACCTTGGGTTGTTACTATTTCTTACTATTAGTGATTTGAACCAATCTTTCATTTGGTTGCTGATACATTCTAATTCTTTCCAAAAGAGTTTACAGCCTTTGACCACAATAATGGATAGAATAAACCCGTGAAATGTTTGACAACCATTTTCAACACCCCATTTGAAAGTCTTTGAGGAGACTGCTTCAGCTCACTCCATCTCCATTTACAACTATGAATTTTATTTTAAAACCCACTGTTTTGCTTGTAAATGTTTTTGTAATTTTGCCAGAACCAAAGCAGTGTGTGTGTGTGTGTGTGTTGTGTGTGTGTGCGTGTGCGTGTGCGTGTGTAAATTAGATAACATTCCACATAAGTTTTTTGGGATTTCTGTCAGTAAAGCCAAATCACAGATAACTGTTGTATATTAGTGGTTCTTCTGTGTTTGGGGCATTGGACTTGAACACAGTTTGTGGCTGTCTGTGTCACCGTCAGCATCTTAGCTATTAACATTTCTGCTTCTTCCTGGATTCCTCAAACTTCCCAATTTTGAACCATGATGAGAGTTGGCATAAGCCAAGTTTATAATCAAGGGAGTAAATGCTTCAATGTAGCTGGTGCCCTGATTTGCCAATTGCCATCTTCACAACACTGTGAGGTCAGCAATAAGAATAGAGCTGGACCCTATTTACTCACACACACAGGACAGAGGCAGACAGACAAGGGACTGATTGGCACCCCCCTTTATTGGGCATATCCAGTGACCGACCATCAGTCAATGGGAGGCCAACTTTCTGGCCACCTCATTGATCTTACCCGTCTCCGCAGCCTTTCCCCACCAGCCAAATGTATGTGTTGCAAGCCCCTACCACTGCCAGCCAAGGAAGGGATCTACCATATGTGACTGCCTGACATTTCCACTCAGCTCTTCCCAGGACCCCACGGCCTGCTTCCTGCAACCCCAGGGCTGCACAGGCCACTCAGGTGGGTCCCTATGCCTCTGCCCAAGAAACAGGCTACGCAGCAGCTCAGAGATTCTGGCATCCACGTCCAAGGCACCTCTGATCGCTAGCTGAGCCAATCACATTATTCAACTTACGTAACCAAATTGCCGAGTTTGTGGGGCATTTTTACAGGATGTGGTCACTCCAAGCACGCAAGATTCTACATGCAGGAAGTTTGCATTCACTCAGTAAAAGGACACAAAATTACATATTCTTTTTGTCCCCCATGCCACATGCCCCCCTCCCCCTGCGTGGAATGATATTCTTTGTCTCCATCCTTATTAAAAAGGCATGAGGATAAATCGTAATTATAGTGCCTCTCCTCCGGACCTCAGTCGGGGCTGTACGTAAGCACCCGCGATGAGCTCAGTCTGTAACCCTTCAAAGGCTAGGGAAGAATGACTCAGGCTCAAGGACCTCTGGATTCTACATCTAGACTGCAAGGGACATTAAGAAGCCAAGCCTCTCATTTCACAGATGGAGAAACTGAGGCCCAGAGGTGTCATGACGTAGCATTCGAACCCAAGTCTTTTGGATTGATTCTGATCCCCTCCTGCACCGTACAGCAGGCTACTCTAAGAAGCACAGAATAAGGACTCAGGAAATTCACTATCGGCGCCCTTAATTCCCAGATGGGACGCACTCCAATTACAAAGGGACATAGCAGGAATCTCCCCATTTTACAGGGAAGGAGATTTCCTTGTAGTCACATAAAAAAGTACATACTATATATCCAAGGCAAAACCCAGACCCAGCTTCAGTCTCTCCTGTCAACTCTGCACCTGGCCTTCTGTATCACACCACATGGGTTCTCACAGAAGTATAGGCAAACGACAATGGGTAAAAACAGAGACAAATGAGGGGTCCAAACAAGGCTTTATGGGGAAAAAAAGA